AATGTTTTACATCACAGTACGTAAGCTTCAAAGAGCATTCTTGTTCATATTATATTTCTATCAGTCTATCATTCATCTTGTCAATCAGTTTTGAAAAATTAAATACGCACATTTCAGTATTCTTATTCTAATAATCATTTTTGTCTTCCAAATGTTATTTTTTGATATAAGAACTTGTTACGATTCGCGAAAACAAATCCTAACAGTTTTTTCAAATACAAAAATTCATCTAATCTATTAAAAATTGTGTATTCACTAAAATGTAAACTAGTGTCGAAATCTCTACATATGGAGTGATAAGTTATGATATATGAAATTAATCGTGTTCGGAGACAATACACTAACTTACCAATGACACAGATTAATCTATACAAACTTTGTAGTAATGAGACTAGCGTAAACCATTATTCTTCAACTCCAATGGCTACTGTAACCATGATTTGCTTTCAATTTCAATTTCTCCTTTTGAATTAACTGTAGAATATTGTTTATTTTCAAATCATCAGTGAATATGACTGATAAATTGATTAGATTATAACAACTATTCCGATTATCTTATCAATAACATGAACAGAGTACTTATCTCATTGACCTTTCAATGTGGTTTTCTTTTTCACTATTTAACAACTTGAATATGACGCGATGTGTTTTTCTTTCTTGATATGGTTTTCACGTCGAAAAAAAATATATAATTGTTTTTTTCTTTTGTAAACGATTATAGTAAACTGATTAGAGTTTATTATTTCACAATTGATACCGGTTTATTGAGTTATCATTGATAATATTCGTTAAGTATATATAAAAATCAAATAAACGATTTCATGGCATACAAATAATTATTTCTGATAAGTTTGTTAAATGACAATAAATATATTAGCGAATAAAGTCATTGGAATAAATACTCACGTGTCATTTCACTATAATTACATCAGTATTGTAATTTTGCATGTTACACACACTAAGAAAGTGAACGCAAAATGCATACAAACACTGAATAGGCATCTGTATACAAATGTACATACCTATATCATGTGAAAACGCCGATATACAAGTATACAGACACAATGTAGTAAGTGTTATTTAATATTATCGCTTTAACTATATTACGTAACAGGTCTTGCACATCACTGTCATTATGGTGAACTATATAATTAAGTTTACACAACTGAAAACTAGTACAAAGGTGATGATGATGATGAAGAAGGAGAAAGGAAAAATTAAACATTGACTAATCAACTAAACCCCTTTATTCTATTTTACTGTCTTGTAATTCATCAAACACTAATTAAGCGTATTTCATAATTTCACATCAAATATTACTGTGTTTTGTTTTTTTTTTAATAAGAGAATACAAATCAAGGCGTTCTATCATTGATTCAACTGTATATTTTTTCTTTGAATAAGAAAGTAGGGATAGTCATTCATGAACGAATAAAAATAATTATCAATGTCATCATAATTGGTATTCATCAAATTATAATTAAAAAAAATAAGAAACTAATTATAATTTGTGAAGACTACGAATATAATTAAATTTATATATATATATATATATATATATATATATATATATATATATATGAAATTTAATTCATCTAAAGAATAACAACTGTCTCAAGTGAATGTGATTAGCATTTCTTTTAGTGGTAATAGTAGTAGTAGTAGTAGTAGTGGTAGTGGTAGTGGTAGTGGTAGTGTTAGTAGTAGTAGTAGTAGTAGTAGTAGTAGTGGTATCAGTAGTAGTAGTAGTAGTAGTAGTATAAGTATTAAATATTGACGTTACTCTGGTTCTGGTATTATTTAAACATTGTTTACAGGTTTTCCTATATTTGCACTTATCTAGGATTCATAAACAAAATGATAACAAAACTTTAAACACTGCAACTAAATTAATTAAACAACTAATTTGTAGACGAATTTCATCTATTCTCGAAACTCTATAATTGATCCAATATTGTTCCAGAAGGTTAATTTGAGGAATAGTTTTTACCAGATATCTGAGTGCCTGTTCGAAGAGAAGATGGTCCCAGGAATAATTTAGCTTTTTCGTGATATGAAATCCTGGACTCTGTTTGTATTTCCACGATAAACTAGATAAGTAGATCAAATTCATTAGTTTTCTGGAGTAAATTTTCAGTGTTCGCGAAAGACGTTTTGGTTCTCGAATGTTAATTTACAGTTTTTTTCTTAACAAATAATAAATATAAATTAAATGTTATCACTTAAACTTCATTAAAAGAAGATTACCCTTGTTTAAAAGTTTTCACACTTGGATATTAATAAATATCATCTGATCGTTGGTTACAGAGGACTGTATATTTTACTAGCATGAAACTGATTTTGATTTCAACTAGTATTCTTAGGCAAAAATATTGATTTCTACTTATATTTCTTGTTTATTCCCTTTTAATTAGTTATAGAAGAATTCTCTAATCTTAACATTTCTGTCGTATAGGTTTTATCTAAGATGTTAATTAATTGAGACTTACTTAATTATTTATGCCTGTCACCCACAATGGAGCATTGGCCGCCCACCAGTGTTCTCCAACTAACTCTGTCCTTGGCTTCCCTTTCCAGTTCCTTCCAATTGTCGTTCATTCTTCTCATTTCTGTCTACATTTCTCGGCGTAATGTATTCCTTGGCCTTCCTCTTTTTCTTTTGCCTTGAGGCTTCTATGTGAGGGCTTTTCTTGTGACGCAGTTAGGTGCTTTTCGCAGTGTGTGTCCTATCCACTTCTACCGCTTCTTCCTGATTTCCTCCTCCATTGGAATGTGGTTTGTTTTCTCCCACAGTACGTTGTTGCTGATGGAGTCTGGTCAACGAATCCGAAGTATTTGGCGTAGACAACTGTTCATAAATACTTGTATCTTCTGGATGATGGCTTTGGTAGTTCTCCAAGTCACCGCTCCATTCAGTAGAACTGTCTTGACATTTGTATTGAAAATCCTGATTTTAGTTTTGGTTGAAAGTTGATTGGAGTTCCAGATATTTTTCAATTGTATAAATGCACCCCTTCCTTTTGCAATCCACGCATTCACATCTTCATTGGATTCGCCTTGCTCGTCATCGATACTAAACAGATATGTAAAGGTTTTCATATCCTCCAAGGCATCTCGATCAAGTGTGATTTTGTTGTCGCATGTTGTGTTGTATCGTAGAATCTTTCTTTTCCATTTATGTATGTTGAGTCCTGTTGCTAGTGAGGTCGCTTTTACACTGGTCGTCTTCTCTCGCATTTGTTGTTGCGTGTGAGATAGAAGAGCCAGTTCGTCTGCGAAGTCCAGATCTTCCAGTTGTATCCTGGATGTCCAATGTATACCGTGTTTTCCTCCTTCCTAATACAGTCGATCACCAGGAGAAAGAGAAAGGGTAAGATTAGGCAACCGATCTTCTCCTCAATTGATTCTGTCAGACCAGAATGTATTGGTGATATTAAAATTATTTTTGATCTTCAGTTAATCAATGAATGTACCGTGTGACGCTAATGATTGAATTTAATAATAAAGATTAAAGTATTGATCATGAAAGTGATTCTGGTCGTTGTACGAATTACATACGATAATAATAATTTGAGAAATAAGCCAGAAAAGAACGAGGTGATGATTTCAGCGTTATAATTTAAAGTCTAATTTAAAAAATCTTATCAATGCATGAATCAATCCCGTATAAATTCTAGTATCGATTACCGGGTTATTTGAACTCAATTTACACAAAAAAATGAAACCGTTATTTATGTTTTCCGTCCGATTAGCTTTCTGATTACCTCTGAAAATATTTCATAGTTTTTTAGAAAGTCTATTTTCTTTAATCCTGTTAAACACTTCTACTGAACTCTTAGTCATTATATTTCAAAGTATTAAATTATATTTGAATGACATGGCTCTATAATTGAACTGTCTGCTATCAGTATTGCTCAACTGAATGCCCTACATCTATGTACCGCAATATAGTCATTTTGTGATACTTGAAACTACTCCATAGTCTATTAACATGTTCTTATGAGATTAAAATAACGTTTACCGTTTCTTAGGAAGCATTAAACTGCAATCATTATGTCTTATCGCTAATAGTCATCAATATGGTTCTGATCGAAATGGCCTTTTTTTATGTTTTTTTTTACTGTTAGAAAATTACTCAATCCCATTAAAATACTTAGTTAGTTGACGCTTAATGATTCCTGAGTTAATACAGCTACACATATCTTCTTGAATTATTCATCACTTATTCGTTTGTATGTGTGTAATGTGAAAGTCATTTCTTTCATATTATGAATTTAACAGATCTAGTAGATTAAGTGGTTTTAACACACTTGAATTGGTGAACTATAATGATGACATTTTAATCTTTAGAACTTTAAACAATTGATGTTGATAATACTACTAATAATTAAGTATTCATATGAATCTTAATGAATAATCTCAGCTTTTTAAAAAATAATACATATGGTTGTTACTAACAAAAATCCTGAATTCTATGCTTTTTTTCATTTCTCCTTGTAACCATTTTATTGAATCCATTGAACCCCTTTACTCATGGTCTTTTTAAATAATTATTCTATAGTCATAGCCATGTTGATATTGTTAAAATAACATTGAATTGTTGATCTCTTCAAATAGTATGTTACGTAATGTGGTTATATTTTTGCAGTCCAGTCGACCAATCACTTTTTCAATTGAAAATTTAACCCTCTTACTCAACTGCTACTCTCTCTCTCTCTCTCTCTCTCTCGATCCACTGTTTTACATGCTCACAAACAGACATTGAATAGATTTCAATGTAACGAATAGATGATAATTAAATTAAAATCTTGTTTTTTTTAACACTCTGACCTAACCGAATCGAATTGTTCATCTTATCAAAGCCGACGGGGGGGGGGTTGTGGACAAAAAAAAATGAAGAAAACTTAAAATATAAAAGATGTTAAATTGAAGATGAAAATGATAAATTTCGTGAAATTTTTCATTATTCAATTTTCAATTTTTTTTTCTTATCTCATATTATGGAAGTTAGTAAAGAAAATGAGATTTTCTTTAATTCTGATATAAAATTATCAATGGATTGTGATTTTTCAATTAATAATATGAATCATTTTACTAGACATAATGAATCTATACTAGATTTATCATTGACACCGAATTCAAAGGAAACTTATTCGCAATATTGTAAAAAAGATTCACATTTATCCTATGAATCAACTGATTGTGCTACAATGTATACAGATACCGCAAATATTAAAGAGTATTTTTCAGTTGATAGAACTTTTGAAAATATTTTTGGAGATAAAACTAATAATAATGAGAGCACACTAATGAATTCTGGGAATTATATTCCAAATATTCCAACTCCTGACCAATTATTAACATTAAATGAAGAAGCTTCTTCTTACAATTTAAACGGTAAATATATACATATACTTTTTTTTCTGTTTGTATTGTTTTTGGAAAATTAACTATATATTTGTTGATTTATAAGTGGTGTGCAAGGTATCACTAGTTTCGTGATAATTGATATCCAACGTGTTCTTAAACTTCGTAATTAGCTAGTCTAGGTAATCGTCACTATGTAGTACCTGACAGTTATAAATCAGCAGGTGAGCACGAAGTGTTGAATACGTTTACTGTTATTCTTTTCTTGAACTGTTACAATTGGTTTGCAAATAGTGTAAGATCATCAATTATCTAGAGTTCATAAGATATTTAGTTAGTTTCACAAAACTGAACTAAGTACTATTCTCGATAGTTTATTTTTTATTTTTTGAAGAAACTAACTGACTGATTATCAACGGAGTAGATGTGTTCACTGTGTCCTGAGTGATAATAAAAGCTTTGCGATCAAATCGCCAAAAGTATTCACTTGAGTTGTGAATATATTCCATACCTGTTCTTGTAAGTAGGCTAGTTTTCTCTTCTGCCATTCAATATACATCTGCTTACAGTTGAAAACTGTTGTTTCCTTTTTTGAGAAATGAGTCAGCAATTCTATTTCAGTATTCACAAAAGATATATTCACATAACCTAAACCACTTTTAAATTAATAATTTTAGTATTTTATCCGTTCTATTCTACTGCCCACTTACATAGATTGACAGTTTTTAAAATATTCGCAACTGTTTGATGGCTTTTTACTTAGTAACATGGAATCATTCAGTTAAAACAATATCAGTTCATTTCTGAAACTAAGATATCATCTGTCAATCAGTTCATATCTAATCTGTATAAAGCTGATATGCATAAAACTTTGGACCTACGTTTCATTCCAACTGGCACTCATCACAGAGCTCTATCTTCAGTTTTTGAGGAAATTCGTGGTATTCGCCACTGTCACAGCTATTCGCCTGTAGGAAGGCTGTTCTAATAAATAAACTATGACTTCATTAAATGTAATGTCAAATAAATATTTAGAAACAGTAGAAACTGAAATACATTTTGACAAACTGTGTAGATAAACTGAAGATTTTGTTCGGATTACATTACGGTAAAACAATGTTTAATTCATGTCATACTTTTACTTTCATCAACAATTATAGAAGATTTATTATGACACACAAATCACTGTAATCATTACTAATCCTATTCACTAATTGTTAATATATTCATTCATCTTACAGGTCAAATAAATTTTGTAAATTTATTTCGTCAAACATGGCATTATTATCAACAATATTTAATACAACCAAATTATTATTCATTTCATACAATTCATCTACCTACAGATGATTATCAGTATTATGTAAATAATAGTTATAATAATAATAATAATCAACCCATATCTACTAATTCACAATTATTAAATACATCACTGTCACATTACAATATTACACATTGTCATAATACAGATTGTAAAAGTCCAACAGAATTATCAGTAAATTCAATACCAGATAGTATGGAAAATAATGAATCCATGTTAAATTATTCCAAACCTGTACAGAGTACAAATAAAACTGATCGAATAACTTCTGATGATTTTGAATTGCCAGGTGATAAACCACGTCAATATCGTAAAGCTAGAGCTTATTTTCATCCAAAACAAATGAATTGTTTAGAATCATTTTTTCAAAAAAATCCTTATTTATCAACAAGAGATCGTGAATATTTATCGAAAAAATTAAATCTTTCAGAAGATAGAGTAAGTGAACTTATTCCTTTTTTTTTGCATATAATAAAATGATTAAAAATTAAAAATTATTAAAAATTAAAAAATGTAGTGGTTTTAATCACACATTATGATCAGTTAGCTCACTCTATAAAATCTGTGAAAGTAGCTTACCATCAAAGAATTAAGACGGTACACATCTGTATTACACTATTCATTTCGTGAAAAAAAAAACAAAATAAATGTAACTTTGCAAACGTTTAGTGTAAAGTTTCTCGAAATGAAGCCATGCAATTTAGCTAATTACTCAATGTCCCATTCAAAATATGTACCAGTTGTATATTTTGTATCTGATAAAGCATTTATTACGTTCAAAGTGATTTTGTACGATAACATTATACTATACTTAAGTGTAACTTTGTCTGTTATTCTATGATTCGCAAGCTTAATACATCCATTTATATCAATGCTGAACATGACTAGCTACTCTTTGCATATACTGACCAAATTTAAGTTACCTGGTTAATTTGGTTGTTGAACACTCTAAACTTGAGATAAAAATGTTAATTCACTATTTAGATTTTTCTCATCTAGCTCGAAAATTTTGAACATTGCTGTAGGTCAAATAGAGATACTGAGATTTTTGTCTTTTAAAAAACCCTTCTGTATTGTATAATCTTCTGATAAATCACCATTATATACATTATTAATTTAGTGAAATGTTTAAGTAAAGACTGTTCACTGAACAACTTATAGATCTCTTGCATTACAAGAATTTCATACAATTTTTCATACAACAGTACTAAACTGGCACTAGATAATATACTCTCTATGTGGTTTTATACATAAAATATATAACCGTCGGCAATCAAAATGTTCAGATCTTTAAACGGCCATATAAAATACTTTGAAACACTACAAGGGCATCGAATAAATATAGTTATCTAATATACCTCATTATCGAAAGTCAATACGTCTATTGTTTCTGGTTTGTTCTAAAAAGACCAGAAATCCAAGGAAGGTGAATGAAGTTACTTGTGGCTGACGAGTCCTAAAATGTCTCTTATTCTATGAATAGTCACAAATTCTCACATTAGATTATCACCATCCTACTAATGATTCCTGTACTAAAACGAAATTGTTATTCGCTGTATACTGCTTTCGATCATTCTTTCTCTAAAGTCATTTCGAGATGAAAATTAGATGAAAATACTTTTAGTTAGTTACCCTTGAACGTACAATAATAGTCAAAATTACTTGTATCAACATTGTTATCAATGCATCATTGCTGTTTATCAAGTGTTTACACAGTTCTTCAAGTATTACGTTCTTCAACAGTTATAACAATTTTATTTTTAATCTTCACGCACATTAAAAATCAATAGGTTAACTGATTCGTTTTACATCATTACTGTGCAATTTCCTTAAAACGCTAAGAGCTCAAGTCGAAATTCAGACTCAAAAACGTGAAACTATTTCAGTTCTAACGTTTTGCTATTTCTAACAAATAATACATATTAATCTAATTTTCATGTCAAAAACTATAGTAGACTTCATTCGGTTGAAAAGAATGAAAACGAAATAGTTTTGCCTTAATAAACGGCTGTCTATGTGAAGAACATAAGGGCTACCATTAAACGAAAAAATGTATTTGTCACTCTAATCTTTTCCGTTTTAAATTGACTTCAGTAATCGAATTCTATATGTGAAGAATGTGTACTTACAAGCCTTCATTAGTTTTTACATTTCATTGCAAATATAATTTATGAAATAATCTGAACTACTGAAATCCAAATAATTCGATCAAACTTGTCTAAACTACTATGTTCTCGGCGCCCAATTTTTATCAAACAATTAGTTTAAATATAAATGAATATTCCTATAAACTATCATTGTTGTTGTAAATTTTCCTCATTCACTTTTCCTCAGAAAATGAGGGGCAATTATCAACGAATTCACAGTTCATATATGGTCGGGGATGAAAAAAAGTGGCATGAGCTCAAGAATCAATATAAATATTACAGATGAATATAAGTAGACTCGAATGGCTGTTTTAAAACTTTTAATGTATATTTTTGCGTATTAACTAGTTTAGTACAAATAAAACGAGAATTTTAATGGAATTGTGCATATTTTATCATGAGACTTTTGTATTATGACCAAACATATAATACTGAATAAAATCAATATTTTACATTCACATAATTTTATTTTTTTTCACAATTCAGATTCGAACATGGTTTCAGAATAGACGAATGAGAGAAAAACGTAAACCTGGAATAAATTATGATTCTGATCATTCATCAGTGAACTCTTTTGTAAAAATAAATTATTCATGATATATAGATATATATTTTTGAATTGCTTCTAATTTTTGTTTAATACAATTAACACTTGTACATATAATTTAATTTTTTTTTGATTTATTTAAACAATACTCACAGATTGATAATAAATACAATAAAGTTGTCTTCATAAATTTTCTTTTCAATTTCATAAGTAGAATGTTTCAAGTGGGAATTACTGGTAGCCATAAAGAGTAAAAGAAATTGTTTCTTTATTATTATTTTGGAAATAATGTTTTCTTAGCACAATAATGGATATTGTTTTAAAATATGTCATTCACTGTCAATAAGAAACATATAATAATTACTAGGTGACATTTGGAGGTAGTCACCGATGGTTAGAGACCTTGAATGACATGACTTAAAATGGTTTCCAATGGCGCAGATGCATTCATTCTTTGTATTCCCTCAAATTCTGGTCTTCTGAATTCTTCATGACTGTTTTTCTCCTTTTAAATTTATTTCGTTGAATCATACTTCTTGCATCATAATTTTGAATCCTAATCTTTTTCATTACTCATTTTACTTCCTCTACGGTTATGTGATTTGAATTAACACTTCAATCTCTCTGTGCTAATGTGGTGTGGCAACTTGAACTGATGTACGTACGCACAAAGTTCTACATTATAACTGATTGACTTTGAATTCAGTCATAACAAAAATTTATGTAATCTAAGCACATGCCGTTTAGTACAGTTATTAATTAAAGTACTTTCAAATTTATTAGTCAGATCTTTTATTTTTCTTTTCAAAGAATAAGCTATATGCGCTTTACCGACATTCATATCAATTGATTGCTAAGTAGTGAATGTTTAGTAGATATTATTTATACTACAATATTTAATACATTACTCATTAATCTTTACTACTCAGAATCAATTAAAACAGTATAATTAATTAGCTATTAGATCACATGTACTCTATTAACTACTTTGAGTTTACAAACTGGTACAAGTTAGTCAGTTCATGGCACCGAATCAGATTAAACTTTATAGAAGAGATTATAATAATCACAATGTATTGAATTATGTAATAAGACTTGTTTTTGATCAAAAGTAAAAATAATAGTTAACTACTTTTAGTGGTTACTGATAAAAGTTAATAGATCTATAGTTAGTACACTTTGCTTCAAAGTTAATCACATTAATTGTTTGTTTGTTTGTTTTTCAACAAGTTTTACAAACTACAATTAAAGCTAGTGTTATTAACTGCTTCAAGTATTTTTTTTTAATGGTAATCAAAGAACAATAAAGGACCGTGAATTAAAATAAACTGATTTACATAAAAGCCCATTTAAGGTTAAAGGTCACTTGGATTACCATTAGAAATAATTACTGGTCACAGTGTTTGAAATAACTGAAAATAAAGTTCAGCACAAATTACGTCATTGAAAATGTTCTACTTCCAAGTTGATTTATATAAAGGATCACTATGAGAAAAATTGAGTGCATTTTGTTCATTTTGCACATTAAGTTGTTTGCTGCTGCAAAAATCAAACAGGAAATTCATATTTACAAAGTTCTGTATCGGATATTTGATGTTTGAATGAAAATATTGTGAGATCATTGATGTTAGCTTCATACAAGGAATAATACTAACAATTAGAAGAATACTTATGCTGTCTCACTCTTTCAAAGGTTCAGATTTACTTTACTCAGTAAAACAACTGGAGGTTATATCTGCTCACATCAGAGTAATTCTACTTCCCATACGTTACAAGCAAGCATCTACGAGAAGCATGAGTTGACAAAACACCGGCTCTTGACTTAATATCACCAGTAAAGAATTCACTAAGTTGCTTTACTTTATACGTGACAAATAATTAATAATGTAGTTACATATGAGTAAGGATCATACAATATCGTGGATTGACTTCAGTTAAGTATTAACAACGTTGATCCCAATTTAGTGATCAAGAGATTGACCGGTCGTGCTCGAGGCCGAAGGTCCTGGTTGCGATTCCTGCTTGCGAAGTTCTGGATGCGCATTTCTAATGAGTCCCATACTGGGCTGAGGTTTCACATTGTGGTCTAACATTATTAGATTCATAACTTCAGTGTTACTATTTTTGACTTCACCTCAACAGTCTATCGAAGAAATTTTTAAAAATCAGATAGGCAAAAAACAAGCATTCATGGAATATGCTTAAACATGATATAACTACTATCTTTAGTGTATGTCCACAATTTTATAACTAGGTAATTTGAAATTTAGATCTAATTAGAACCATTCATTGGATAATTCTGTCCTATGCTCCTTAGGCATGAGCAAAACAATGGTTGGATTCCAGTATAAGACCTGACATCCAGTGAGACAAATAAACTGTATGTCAGTTGTGAATATAGTCTGGAAAGCTTAAAATTTAGTCGACAGCCACTCTAAACTAGGTGTTGTCATAATTCTTCTGACATGTTTTCACATCAGCGGTGAAAACAACTTGAGGAACACTTTACCCTTGCTATTCAAAATGTTTAAAAAGTACTGTGAACAGAAATGCTTATTCGATGTATTTTAGAGTGACAGCGTTCACTTAGACATGAAGCTCTAAAAATTAGATACAACAAGGCGTGTATTATAAAGAAATAAAATTGATTAGAGTTGATACCTATAGATAATCATTCAAACCTAGAAGCACTAGACGGACGTTTCGTCCTTTTATGGGACTCATCAGCGGTGTGTATTCACGAGTCCCATAACTGAACGGAACGGCCATCTAGTGCTTCCAGGTTTGAATGGTAATCTAACATTGATCAATTCGTGGTTTCGAATTAGCTCAACAATCTCCGTAATCTCATGACAAAAATCTTATTTTTAGTAAGTGGTAACATTTTTCATCTAAAAAAAAAATTTTGAAACCCTTGATTGATATTAAATGGGGAACAGCCCAAAGTCAGATTACAAAATCAATCGTTTATTTCTGCATTTTTGCCCTTCTTATCAACTTTTGTACTTCACATTACACTACTCAATAATACCAAGTAGTATATTTTCATTCAATTAATATTGTCTTTTGGTTGATATTCATCGGGATTCGGATAACCGAGTTGAACATTTAAGCAAATTTCATTTCATGAGGTTCGGTATTATATTGGGTAATTTCCGTACTTTTATTAATGTTTCACATTCTACTGAAAATGTTTTTTTCATTTTATGACCACAATGTCAGAATTTTATTTAAAATACCTTGTAATTCATAGGTAATCAGTACCGAGGTTGGACTTGATAGTTTCAACAAGAGTGAGCATTGGGTAGAAAGTTAGTAATAATTTTCGATCAAGGTGATTATGTATGATACCTCAAAGTGTCTATTTGTGTGTATGAATGGGGATGAGGAAAATACATAACTTTTGATATGAAGTGGTGAACTTAAAAAACAATTTTGTCTGTGTGGGCGTAGAATTGAGTAGATAATTAGTCAAATGTAGTTGTTTGGATAAACAGTCCAGGTTGGATGAATAATCAGTCTTTCTTTCCTGCTGAGGGCAGAGGGATTTAGCGTCATATAAAATGCTTTGGCTACTCACCTCGCTTGAGAGCTGGACAAACTGTTCGGTATTTTTTATATCAATTTGATGGTTACTGAAAATAGCATGTACTGCTGCTGTTGATTTAATTTGTAGATTTTCAAGTTCAGCGGGATTATGCGAAGGTATTTTGGCACGAGTAGAGATTTCCAGACTGGACTCTCTAGTAAAATATGCATCGTAATCGACAAAACCCAGTTTGTACGCACAATTTTGAGCAGATGTAAACAGGATCTTATCTGTAATTATGACTAATGCGTGTCGTAGATTGTTACTTGTGTTATAGATAGCTTTAAGCATTGCTGGTGCATAAGCTAGTTTCTATCTATAGATCACATTGCACATTTAAAAAAGAAATAGGCTTGGAAGTGTATGATAGCTAGCTACTTCATTATATTTATTTTGTTCTGAAGAGGGTTTTCACAGTTCACTGAAAACTATAGAAGAGTGATGTTAGGTCACATTCTGTTTTGACTGACTGTTAGAAGAAGTAATGTCTAGGTTAATAAAAAAATAATGTGTAAAATGAAATTGATAGAACAATAGACTCTTTATTCGAATAAACTTCAAAGCCATTCCAAAAGTTAGCGAGGACGTAGAAGAAACTTACAAATGTCACAATGATTTTTTATCACAAATCTTTCGACTTGGTAGGAAGTGTTAAACTTTGTAGGATACATAAGCTATTAATCTCTGAAAGTTATTAACTGCTACTGGTGATTTTAGAGTAGACTTTTTCAAACAAATGATAAAATATTCAATGCATCTTGCAAAACTAACTCAAAACAATAGATTTATTATATTTATTTATTAATAGGATGTATAGATTTCATTTGATCAATTCAAAATTTTATTTTTATTAGAAATTATCCACATTAAGACCGTAAAATGATTTCTGATTTGTGGTGGTGTTTTGTTGTCTGTGGCGCTCCACAACCAAAACATCCAGGTCAGACAACAAAACACCACCACAATTATCCACCTTAGCTACAAATTTTCTCCATCATCTCGATTTCCGCTTTTTCAAATGTCATAATTTATTCATGATCTAGTTGAAAGATCCATGTAGTTTAAAACCATCTTACTTTTTATAACAGAATTTCTACCAAGAAAATAAAACCAAATCTTACTGGTCTCCTTTGCTCTGTTTCTTTTTCAGAACCAATTGTTCATGAGGTACAGTCAAAAGCTTTGCTTAAATTGATCGAGAAAAATTTCTTTTTATTTTATTTTATGCGTGTTATCTGCCCTACTGAACTGAACCAAAAAATATAAATAGCAGTATCAATAAAGAATATTTCAGTTCTTTTTGATACAAATTATGTAAAGAAAATATCTTTTATTGAGAATAAATGTAGCTTTAAACTAAAACAATGCATAATCACAAAATGCATATTCTAATTGAAGTGTATAACGAGGATGTGAGAAATACAAAATTTACTGATCGGAGTTTATGTCAAACGAGTTACT